AATAAAATTATCTCAATTAACAAATAGTATAGTATTATTTAGATTTTTTTTTACTCTAAGTTTTTTATCTGTTATTACGTTAATGGCATTTCATATTTTCATGAAAGAAAAGGTTCGCAATTTATTAATTTATTTCAAAATTGGAGATCATTATTTACAAACTTAATAATATCTCAGGTTGATGTGGCAATTATGGAAGTAGGAATTGGTGGTGAATATGATTCAACAAATATTATAGAGAAACCTACAGTTTGTGGTGTATCATCTTTGGGAATTGATCACCAAAGTTATCTTGGAGAAACAATTGATTTAATCGCATGGCATAAAGGTGGTATATTCAAGGTATTTTTAAACTTTTTAATGATTTTTTAGTAATGAAATTAAAAAATAATTTTTTGAATAACAACTGAAATTGATTAATAAGAGAAATGTTCCAGCCGTAACTATTGAACAACCCGCGATAGCTTTGGAAGTTCTGAAAAAAAGGGCTGAAGATATTAATGTAAGTAAATAATAGATGTTACAATTCATACCTTTCAAACTTATTACAACCTTCAACAGGCTCCATTTACACAAGTGGAAACACTTGCTAAAGAATCTTTTGGTGACATCAATATCGGTATTATATATAATAAATATTAGAGTTTATTTCATGATTCATTGTTCATTAAAGAATAGTCAATTTCAGGACTTGCTGGTCGACATCAACTTATTAATGTATCACTCGCAATTGAACTATGTCGCATATGGCTTGAAAAACACAGAAATATTAAATTTAATAATGAAAGAGTTCCACAAGAGTTTATTCCTGGACTTGCTAAAGTACGATGGCCTGGTCGCACGCAACAACTTGTTCTTGAAAAATATCCAAAAATTACCTGGTTTTTTGATGGTGCTCATACATTGGAAAGCATGCAAGTGAGTTTGATATAAAAAAGAAAGTTTTATTTATTTTATCGTAACCATAATATATTACTCAAATATTATATTTTTAGGCATGCGCTGATTGGTTTGCTGAGGCTGCAATGGCTAAGATAGACAAAAGGTGATTAATTACTTAATAATATTGAGTGAAGTTACCATTAAATTTTTTTAATATATTTGTAGTGAAAAAAACAAATCTGGATCCTTAACTGATATTGAAAGAATCTTGATCTTTAACTGCACTACTAGTCGTAATGGTCCCGAAATATTAAAAAAAATAACAGCGACAAATCCCTATATTCATTTTGACCACGCTAACTTTTGTACAAACGTCACATTTACTACGAATCAATTTAAACCCGGTAAATGTAATAAAATATGTTAGTATTAAAATTCGAACAATCATTTTATTAAACTCTTTTTTTTTCGGTTAGATTTGCAAAATAATACGATCAAAATTGATGAAAATCTCACTTGGCAAAAAACACTTGCAGAGATTTGGCCGACCATCATATCTAAATCAAAAACAAGCGAAACACATATTTTTCCAACAATACAAAATACCATTGATTGGATACTTGAACATTGCAAAGAAAGTGAGCGTGAAGTTCAAGTGCTGGTCACAGGAAGTTTACATTTAGTAGGTGGTGTAATGGCTGTATTAGAAATAGATGTCAATTAATTTTTAAGAAATATACTGTAGTGTACAGATTTTTAACACTCCTAAGTAATTACAGTATTCATATTTTACATAATTTTTTATTAAGATTATACAATACTCTGGTTTTCATAATTTTGGATGGTGATAAACAATATCGATATATTAAAGTTTTAATATATGGTGCTTCACATCATTATTAAAATTATTAACTCTTCGTTTGATATAATAGAGTTTATATAGTATTCTCTCGATATAAGCTATAGTGAGGTTTTTTTTTTCTCAGCCCGATCACTTCACTATAATGAAAGTGACTTGTATTAAATGCCAATTTTACGTAGATCTCTATAAGCGCCAATTTTCGAGATAATTTGATGAGAAGTGACTTGGAACATCATAGTGAAATATTTATTATTATTAGATACAATGGTTTTAAATTAGCCAAAAGAAGGATCCAGTAATTTATCATAAAAAAAACGATATCATTAGACTTTGCTAAATTTAAGCTTCTTTTAAATTTTGTTTTGTTTTTTGCCAACTTTCTTTTTTGGTATTTTTGCTGTGGAACATATTTAGTAAGCTGGAATTAGTACCACGATCTAAAGTTTTCTACACATACATTGATAATACGTTAAAGAGATATTATTAACACTTACGTCTTTTAGAGTTTTTTGCCGTTTAACTTGGGACCTTTGGGGTGTTGTGTTTGTGGGTGTTTATGGTTGTTTTTTCAGTTGAGAAGGGAGTTGTGACTGCTTCTTTGATTTTTTTCACAGACTTTCCTTTCCCTTTTCTCCATCCTTGGACTTTTTTCTTTCATTGTTTGCTGTTGTTACGTTCTATTGTCTTATCAATTGAGTTAGTGTCGCTATGTGAATCGATGGTTTTATTATCATCACTAACATGTTCGCTTACCATAGAGAGTGTGTCCCTAGAATTTTTTTAACAAGGAAAGTACAGTATCATTAAACTTATTAAATTCTTGAACATTAAAACTGCAGATATAATCTGCAATTTTTTCAGTATATAGCATGTTCAGTGGTATCATTGTCTATGACTTTTTTTCTTTAAGCAAATTGGCTCTAGCTGTTACTAATTCTTTGTGGAAGTTAGTAGGTAGCTCTGCTCTGTTCCGGGATTTAATGTACTCGGTAATCTCATTTAGATTTACCAAAGTAAAGATCCAGTGTTGGTTCTTCATTGCTCCCATTGAGAATTTTAATATTGAATCTAGAGGTCGGAACCGGTTTTAAAAATTCAAGTTTATCACATAAAAATTCGAGTTTATCATACCATAATTCGAGTTTATCACATCAATCATTAATGATTGATGTGATAAACTCGAATTTTGGTATGATAAACTCGAATTTTTATGTGATAAACTTGAATTTTAAAACCGGTTCCGACCTCTAATTGAATCTAATTGAGCTTCATCGAATAAAGAAAATATTGCATCTTTAATTTGTGTAGTTAAAGCACTTCGCAATGATCTACGTTGCTTTAAAAGCAAAAAATTTATTTATTTTAGAAATATTATAAATGCATTATTTTCTAAAAATTGAAAATATTCTATTAGTCTATTTATAGGCTATTTATAGGTATAGGTATTGATATTGATCAATCGATACGTATGATATAAATTTTTATCGTATAAAACTTGTTAATATAAAAAACTGTGCGGTAGTATTAGGGTGTAATAAATCCACGGCTTGCATGACTTTCCTAACGATTCTTTTGACAAAGGCTTTCCCAGCCAAGGTGTCGATTCAGATAAGTATCCTTTTTTTTTTTATTCCTTTACTGTAACTCTAACTAATACCTTAACTTTTCCTTAAGTTATGCAGGGGTTCCAAGCTTCCAGGTTCAGCAATACAAGGTTTTTCTTAAAGATTAATTCTACAACTGTCGTCACGTGTTCTCTTATTATCGTTACAGAAACTTTGCAGTTTAACAATAATTAATTTAATCAAAGTCTTACACGAGGTAAAGTATTTATAAAGAATGAGTTTTATATTTAATGAATTTTAATATTTATTAAAATCCGAAGGCTTCGTTGCTATTTTTCCTTTAGAAAAAAAATGCGGTGTTTATATACTTATTGAGTTTGTACTTTAGACAAGATGAATAGCAACATATTGTCATCGATCTCTAAGTCACGTTTTTGACAACTTCCCCGCATCACGTTTTCTCCCCTTCACAATATTTTCGGATTTTTTAAGGATTGATTTCACATATGAATTTATATATGAATTCACACTGATTTAGGTACATTTTTTTTTTACCCACCTAACAGACAAAATTGCATCATATTTTTTTTTAAACTATAGCTCTAGACTAGCTCTACACTGTAATAGAGTCGGTTATGTAATAACTCTTAAAATTTTATTCTAATTTTATAGAAAGGTAACAACAATTATTGCAAAAACAGCTCTATTACAGTGTAGAGCTAGTCTAGAGTCTAGAGCTATAGTTTAAAAAAAAAAAAAATACGATGCAATTTTGTCTGTTAGATGAGTAAAAAAAATGTACCTAAATCAGTGCGAATTCATATATGATATAAATTCGTATGTAGAATCACCTTAAAAAATCCGAACATATAGTACCCTAAGGTAGTATAAATTTAATTAATCAGTTTCTAAAACTTTAACCCGGTTATAAATCCAGATATCGATTATTGACTATTAACAAGAATTTTGGTAGGGATGTTAAGTCGTCTTATTAACCCAGTCTGAAAGTAGTCTGGTCCTAATCTCTGAAAAAACTACTAAACACTAGTTAAAAACTAGTAATTTAACTAGTCTAAAAATAAATTACATGTTACTGATATTTTTATATTAAATTTTGATATATCCTTCAATATAAGTAGTGATATATACGTACAGTCACCGGCAAAAGTAATGCCTGATTTTTTTATTAAATGAAAAGTGGCTATATACATGATTTATTTTATTTCTATACTATATACATATAATTTTTTTTTTATAGCTAATTAATACTTAGTCAGTCCCCTATTTACATTCATTATAGCTTCAATCCTTCATGGCATTGAGTTTACAACTCTTTAAAAGACCAAGATATCTAATTTTGACCACTCTTTCTTTAGGGCAATTTTGAGATCATTCATATTTTTTGGAAAATTTTATTGATTCTGAATATTATCTTTCATTATCTTCCAGATATTTTCAATAAGGTTAATGACAGAAGACTTTGAAGGCATTGTTTTAATTTTTTATTGTGCAAGTTATTTAGATACTCTATGAACTAGTGCATTGTTATGTTTAAACACACTATTTTCCTCTACTAGTAAACATATTGCATTATAAAATAGAATCAAGTAATTCTGGAGAACCTTTTAGTAGATTTTTTAGTTAATTTTTTCTTTCAAACCTTTATATTCATCAAAAAAAATGAGTAGATTCTTTGTTTCACTAACAAAACACCTCCACACTATTACAGAGCATCTTCTCTTCTAAAGTATAGTCTTATGCACTCAGTTTTATATTGTTCACCTTTGTAATGTTATATTTTAATTTGGTGTGATTGTTTACTGATCTCAATGCTAGTTTTATCTGAAAATATTATATGTCACTAATCATATGTATTCATAGATCTTATTTTTTAGTATTACTCGAATTGTTTATATTCCTCGATACTATTAAAATATTTTTCAAATAAATTTAATAACAGATAAAAAACTTAGAGTAAAAAAAAATCTAAATAATACTATACTATTTGTTAATTGAGATAATTTTATT